CTCGCATTATTCTAACGTGCACGGTGTTTGGTGTATCCGGTGTATGTGTGCGCCCATGTGGGTGTGTGTATGTGTAAATACATTTAATTAATGCTAAGCCACATACGATTTTCCCCCTATGTTTAAATGTAAAAAAGTACGACTGTCGAGTCAGAAAAGCTCTAAAGAGGTACCTGGAATGATTACACGTTCGTCGCGTTATTTCACGGTATAATGATCAACGAAAGGGATATGTATACGCGTGTGTTATGGACCGATTATGTGCATGTATAGATGCAATTATGGACGCATGTGGTGTCGCGAGAAGAAAACTGTTCGTCGCTGTTTCTGTACAATGCGAGGAGAAGATTGAATACATCAAGGTTCCTTTTAGGTCAACGTAAAGCAGTGAATATTATATATATCTGTCTCTCCATATATATTTTTTTTACTTTTTTCGCTTGTAAAACACAAAAACGCCAAAAATTCGCTTAGATTCGATTTGTTTTCTTTTTGATTGAGATACACGTTCGAAGCAGATTAGACCAATTCGCCTTGCAACCATTTTTTCCTGTTTTCTCTCTCTCTTTATCATCCAGATTATAGTCAGTCGCTAGCACGAAGCTTTTAATCGTTCCGTGTGTCGAGCACGAGCAAACGTGCCGAGGAGTACTTCATTTAGGTGCGTCTGATCTGATCGAGAAAAAAGCAGCTGGAATGTGCTGTTATACGTTAAACAATCCCAGATTGAAACGGACGTCAGCGAATGTTTATCGAGTAAACAATGCAGAGCCCTCTTTCGTCGTCCTGAAGTTGTCGTTTTGCGTATAGTATAGTATCCTTTATTGCACACGAAAGAAAGTCTTGCCAAACTGAAACTGAAGAAAAATACATTTGAGAGAGCAATTCTTGGATGGATCATAATGATCTCGTGTCCCCAATGCTACTCAATTTCTTTTGACAAAATAAGTGAAATTTTAAAAAATCTAAATTAAAACTTCAAGAAACTAACTTGAAATTTTGAAAAAAAGAAAAAAATTCTAACCACTATTGATTAAGAAGAGCAATAATTTTCCTACTAGAGACACAAGATCCGTATGAGACTGATAGAAAATTTAAGCTGAAAAAAAGTATGATATTAATCATGTATGTATCATGGTAAGTAATAGAACTTGACCAGATATCAAGAATAACAATAATTTACAATAATTAATTACTGCTCGTCGAGGAAGGGCGGTTTTCCGTATATATGTACACAAGCCAAAATATTACAACGTCCCATGCTAGCTACGGGCTTTACATCGCACCAGTGGAGCAGTAATTAATTGTCTCGGCACATGGATTATGACAACATTTCATTATTGTGATCATTATGTTACAAAAAAAAAGGTCTGCGTTTTCTGGCAGTATCTAAAAAATGGAAAAAAGATAGTGAGTATCAAACACGATGATACACGTGATACACGCTTGATAATGGTACATAACAGAAATGATAATGATAATAATAACGATAAAGGACTCATCTGTGCATCGACACAAAAACAACATTGAGAAGGGGAGAAGAAAACTTAACAAAAAAAATAAATAAATAAATAAATAAAATAAAATAAAAATTGTTCTACAAAATCTACGAATACGCACCTGCTAACATAGAGAGATCGGTCTAGTTTTCCGGCCCGGTTTTTTGCTGTCCAGACGAAATCGTACTCCAGAGTGACATTGACATCCTTTAGAGATACTCAAATCAAAGCGAAACAAAACGGACAACGCAGATATCGAAAAAAACGATTGGTAACAATGATGGTTAAGAAAACACAAATGGCGTGCGAGGAAAATTAATAATGCAAACCTGTTATGTATATAAATAATTATATACGCATTCTCTGTTTCGTACAAAGGAGTCGTTCCTATGCATGATTTGATAGTAACAAATGAATAAATAAAAAAAGAATTAGAAAAGAAGAAGAAATAAATAAAACACGGAGTCACAAAATATGTACTATGGGATAAGTGTCCCGTGGTACACGACGTTCTCCTGAATCGAATAACACAACTAGGAATGATATTCAGTTAGAAAATAATTTATTCGTTCGTTCGTTAAAGTCTCAAGGCACTACTTATATTTAAATAATCCAGTTTCTCGTAGTTTGCGAGTTCAAACGTATTATACCATATGTATATAATAGTCAGATAGTAACGTAGTAACATCGTTTTATTCGTTTGTCCCTTTTTCTCATTTAAATAGGTTATGTTTTCCGAAGGTCTAGTGGAACGCAATAGAGATGAGTATGTAAATATTTTTAGGATACAAGGTGCCCCGAACGATACAATGATAGTAAAATGTACCATTTTTATTTTTTTCTCTTCTGCTCTGAGATCTTCCGTTTTAAAAATATATAGATTTCTCATTTGTCACACAAATGAGAATCGTTTTAAGTGTAATAATAATAATAATATTAATAATAATAATAATAATAACGTACGCGTAGTATAAATATATAACATTGTGAATTGCACCGAGTTGCATTCCTTAACAAACAGATATAATACTTTCGAAGGCGAAAAACTCAGCGAATAGAACGTATTCAGGGGAAATATTTCGAGACACCTCACATCGTATTTAAAAGAAAAGAAACATTAAGACAAATGTAACCCTAAAGCCAGATAAACAGTTTCTTTTTTTTTAAATAGTGTAAAATTAAACACGTGTTGATTACATAGAATCGATAGAACGAATGTAAATGAACCGATGACATTGAGTCATCTGAAAAGTTCGATGAAGACGTGTTCGTAATAAACAGTTTGTTACAGTTTGTTGTCAAACTGTAAAATTCGTTTAGAACTATTATTAATATTCTCTGCATATCGATCATCACTTTGAGAATGGTCATCTTTGCAAATCTATACTGAACTATATAGTTAAGCAAAGCTGCTGTTGCTGCTGCTGCTGTTGCTGCTGCTAGAAATTGACTACATTATAAATTCGTGTGCGTGGTTTCACGGTGTTCTGGCATACGAGAGAGGAAACGGACAGTGGCGTTAAAAAAGATACTTTCTCGCTGTTTGAACAATTAGAATCTGGTATTCTGTCTCAGCCAAAGTGTAACACGTGAAACGATCGACGTGTGTATGTGTGTAGTTTTCGTTATGAAAATACTTGTCTCTGGAAGCTTGTTTTATTCTAATTGCTTTCTATACGGTTGTGTATAATACAAGCGTAAAAAGTTTCTGATAAAATTCGGATTGATTCGCTTTTTCTACTTCTTTTTAAAAAGGCAACGAGATACAAACAATGTCCTCGACACGTTTCGTTTAAAACACAGAAAATGGACAAAATAGATCAAAGAAAGTAATTAAAGGGCATCGTTATCACAGCTTACATGTGGAAGTGATTCGTCAAAGGCTGTTGTTACTTTTTCTAACGCGATATTTTTCCAAGAAAAGAAAAAATAGAATAAGATAACAATAGAAGTAGCAACAATTATCGAAATACTTGTCAATAGTAAATGTAATAAAAGAATGTGCAATTAAGATGTGCTATCGTCATTGTTTAATCCGTGAAGACGCCTGGCTGCGAGAAAAATGGTATATCAAATGCCCAAAAGATTACAGACGGCCCATTCCTACATTCGGAAAAAGTAACTAATGCATTCCTATAAATGCTTTTAAGAGGAATCATTCAGGAATAATTTGCCAAAGATTCGAGATGTTAATTCCTCAATGCGTTCGGGTTACACCATCGTGCAATTTAATAAATTGATTGCCTAAATGTTAACGTTCTTTCGAAACAATCGTACGTTTACTTTTTTCTTTTTTTAAATAGTTCTCTCTTTCTTTCTCTCTCCTAAGAATTATATAAACTCTCGAAGCTATTAAACACCGAGAATCATCATCGTACGACCGGGCATTGAAATCGAACGACAGGCAATACTACAGACGAAGAATGTATCCTACGTGGAAGAGTGAATCCCGAAAGCTTGAAAGATCTTGTTTTTAAAACCGGGTTTGTTAGGACTAGCGTCGTGGTGGCCAGACTGTCCTTCATGTAGCGCCCTTTGTACCAGCGGCAGCGAGCCCTGTGATTGTGTGTTGTGTCGCCAATTCATCGAAACGGGCCGGATAACGAAAAAAGAACAAAAAGAAAGAAGAAAAGGATAGTAGACGGCTAATCGTGTGCTACAACATGCGTGCGACTAAAATATTTCTTTTATCATGAAATTCCGACACAACTTACCCCGTCAATTTGCTCGTGTTCGCTGTTAGCGAGACTGGATTGCGAACCGCGTCTCGTCGAACCCTTTTCATCCCCTAAAATCTGCGCGACCTTCCCTTGCTTCACAAATTCCAATGTCTGCTTCAAAAAAAACGAAATCGACTTAAGTAACAAATGCGTAAAATGTTTCGCGATTAAAATAAACTGCTGACGCCTTTATGCTTTCTCCATGAGGTTCAATTTTTTTTAGCAAACCAATTACTTTTACGAATTAAATTATATAACTTTCTTTGGTAACGAATTATTTCTTTCACTGTACTACTTGTTCTACTACTTATACAGTAAAAGTGAATAAGTTTCACTTAAATCTGTAGAACAATTATTTGAACTTACCTCTCTTCGTGACCTCAAAGCACAATCTTCTAATGTTTCTGCTGCCTCGTATTTTCCTTGCCTTCGGTATAATGCACCAAGATTCTTTAAGGTAGTCGTTACTGTAGGTGAGTCCACCTTGGCGGCCTTGTGCCAACCACCGTACTCTCCATATGGAGCATTTTCTTTATTTCTGTGCTTATTCTCTTCCCTTTCTTCAGCAACCTGAAAACAAACGGATCGCAAACCTTCAGTATCGCAAAAATTTCATTACTTTATGTCATCTTTCGAACGTAAAGACATCAAAAGTGTCTTTACCTGCCAGATTGGTTTATTATCGCCAGCAATAGCACCAAACTCTTTCTCGTGTGCTCTAGTTAACACTTGTTTATACAAAACTTCTGCGTCCTTGTATTTGCCTTGTTTCAAGTAACATGACGCCAGATTGTTTTTCGTCTTTGCGACATTAGGATCGTCAGGTCCAAGTTTTCCTTCATAGATCTCTAACGCTCTCTCATAATAACGTTCCACCTCTTCGTACTTTCCCTGATTCTGGCATAGCAACGCGAGGTTGTTCAGTTGTTTCGCAACATCCGGATGATCACGACCGAGGACCTTTTCTCGAATATCCAGAGCACGTTTGCACAGTGGCTCGGCCTCTTTGTATTTGCCTCGCTTTCCATATAAAACGGCTAAGTTGTTCAGCGTGGCAGCGACCGCTGGGTGATTCTCACCTAATGTTTTTTCACGAATGGCCAAGGCATCATTCAATAAGTTTGCCGCCTCTCTGTACTTATTTTGATCTCTATATACTAAAGCAAGAATGTTCAGCATTGTAGCGACATCAGGATGATCGTGACCCGAAGTCTTCTCCAGGTCCTCCAACGCCTGCTTGCATAGAGGTACGGCCACCTCGTAACGGCCTTGACTTGCATACTGTATAACCAAATTGTGCAGCGTACGTAAGCGCGCGGGTATTTCATATCCGGCGTTCACTTGTTGTGCAAACTGTAAAGGCGGTGTTGGTGATATCGCTGCAATGAAAATTTCGAATGTTGTAGGAAAAAATGGTTGTTATCAGTAACTTAAGTCTGTGTGAATACGAAATCTTACTATAGCATTCTTCAATGGTAACAGCTTCAAATAAAACTACCTTCAATTCTTTATATATTGGTTGAGAAGTATCCTCGAGTCTAATGGAGAGAATTGGAGAACAGTTTCAGTTCTTGTGTGTTATTTCACACAGACTCAAGGGGATGCATGATAAAAGAAATGAAGAAAGTGTACTTACACTTACTATTCCGGTCATCTGGATCATCATCAGGGAACAGATCGATCACTGGGTCAACTTTTGGTCTAACCTTAACATTCTCATCATCTGCAGATGGATCAGGATCATACTGTTTTATACTTTCCATGAAGTCAAAGTGATTCTTGTGCACTTCTAATTGGGCTACCTAGCAAAGCAAAAAATTGTTCAGTTCCTTAGGCTTTCCCTCTGCTTGGCTCATTGTAATTTCACGTAATTCAATTACTTACTGTTTGCTCGCTGGATTGCAATTTTTGCTGAGTTCCAGCCAACTCATCCCTTAACCAGGCATTTTCTTGACATAACCTTCTTACTTGTGTTCTAAGCTTTTGCTTCTCAGCCTCGACCACTTGTAAATGATTCGCAAGAGCCATCATAACTTCAGCTTCACCAAGGCCCAATTCTATCATTTCAATGTTCTTTGACAACAGGCTGGCTTTGTCCCTAGCGACTGATTCATCCTGAGTTTGTAGGGCTTGTAAAAGTCCTCCATGTTCTAGACGAAGGGCTTCCAAACCCTGAGCCACAATTCTGGCACCAGCTATAATTTCTTCCTGCGTCATGGCCGTCATTCTACCAATGTTTTCTATTTTTTTGCTAAAAATTAAAAAAGTCAAGCTACAATAAAGGTTAAACTAAAGAAGAAGTAGCAAAACTGAACAAATTATGTTCTCAATTTAATTTATATTGAAGTATTTTATTTTTTTGTTACAAAAAATAGTACATTTTAATGTATAATTTTTTACATAATTTAAATCAATCAATGAACGACAACGCCTGTTGTCGCAACGATAAGTGCACAGTGATAACACGGCTGCAGTATACGTAGCCTTCTGCGGTTGTAACCAAGGCAGAAAGCATAAAGAAAAAGGTAAAACAGAGAGGTAAGCGGTATTTGGAACGACTTGCTTTACGCGCCAATAATTAACCGCAATCAAAAATAGGCATCGTGAAGTATTTCAGTCGAGGCAAGCAGAACGTATCCGGCATTCGCACGAACAGAGACTGTTTTCGGGTCTAAGCCGGTTGGAATGATTTCGTTTTTGCATAGAATACGATCGTCGCGATTCCACCATCGAACGAAACATTTTAAAACGGCTTTCGGAACACTCGAGACTGATTATCGCAAAATTAATTCGTATAAAAACTTACCCCATGTCAGGGCCGCATTAAATCCACAGAAATCAATGGTTTGGTATATACGCGCAGGCGCAATTGCCGCGGCGCTTCTCGTATGCGACACAACGTAACCGAGTAAAAGTGAATTGCCGAGAAGAAAAAATTCGTAGAACTATCACACGTCCCACAAACAATTAACGTTGATCAGCAGAACGTTCACAAGAAGAGTACACTGATAACACGACGAGACACGAATAATTAATCGCAGACGAGCTCGTTTCGACGGAAAACTTACCCCATGTCAGGACCGCGTTAAACGCAGGCGAAATCAATGGCTCGATAGTTCCGCGCAGGCGCAAGGACCATGGCGTGTTCTTTTATGCGACAGTGTATATAGGTATACGCAGAGAGAGAGATGGTGAAATTTCGAGAGAAAAAAAAGAAAATTCGCGACGCCGCCGCTCAATCGATAAAGACGGCCGGAAGTTGGACCCGTAGAGGGATACAGGGAAAATATTGTCGGCGTCGGGGGGCCAGGTCAGGACTTCAGGGTTCTGCACCTGTAAACCTTGACCTCGTACAATCATCCTTCCAAACAACCCTTGACCTCGAGTTTTCTACGGGAACACCGCATCGTTTTTTTCCAGATGCACTTGAACGAGACTATTTTGTCGTTTGGCCATTGTCAGTTATTTCCTGCGAAGGGATCTGTTAAAGGAATGTGACTTGGAAAAAGAAGGAATGCAATTACAAAGTTATGGGCACGACAACGTTCGTGAATCAACGTTCCGGCATAAGTAATGAAATAGCATGGCGAGAAAAGCATGAAAGTCGCACAGCACAGGTCGACGCATCGATTTCTCATAAAACCTGCATTATGGAATATCAGCAGCAAAAGTGTTCGCAGCTGATGGACAATAAACGGCGAGGTGTAGTGAAATTTTTCATGCCAAAAATATTCTCTTTATCGACTGTAACTGAACGATGAAGTTTGCGGGTAAATATATTTCCATTCGTTGGCGCATGCAGCCGCGAAGGTTTTTTCGATGGCGCGTATCCGATCAGTTTACTGGATGGAAAAGTTGCTACGAAAAAACGAATCGTACGTAAAGTTTCTAATGAAAGTACGCGGCAATTGGAGCTTGGTATGTTTACGTAAAAACAAAGTGGTGTAGGAATGCTCGACCAGGTGTAAAAGTGTTCATATGAAGAAAAAACAAAAAAAGAAAGAAAGAGGAAAAACATACAGATAAAGATCAAAATGGATTGTATAAGGATTCGTAAGTAGGGGAAACTACTCACATTCTATAAGCGTTCAGCGTTTTTGACATATCTGTTCTACCCATCGGTAATGTTGGACTCTGTTGGACCTACCTAATCCGTATATAAAAAAAATTGAACTTTCTACTATATCGATCTGTCCGTTGTTTCTTCGCGGACAATCGCGACCGTATTGTCACTTTCAGTCAATCGAAGCTGTTGTAAAAAATTCATTTATTCCGTTTTCGACCGTACAAAAATAGAATCTGTACAATATACATATATACACTACAGCGTGTCCCTTGTATAATGTGATTTCTAAAGGGGGGCACCTCGCGTAATCGCGTTTAATTCTTTACTGAGGGCTAACGTTTGGCTTCGCACCCTCTGCACACGAAAGGCCGACATGTCGAGGGCGGCGGGGGGTTGTGAAATTGCGCATGCGCCTCGATTTCACGGGTGCTCCTACAACTTCACAAAATACGTGTGCATGGTCATACCGGTGTGTCCACTCTACAGCAGGTATACACAACAGAAATGAATGATGCGTTTCTACGTTAAGAAAGCTTCGTGCTAGGCGTCGCTACGGCCTCATACGCAAATAAGCGGCAGTCGGTCAGTAGGAATAACCGGAGGGTGCGTAAGGGTGTGATGAATGAAACTTCTAAGAGGGTGTCACGCGTGTATGACACTTCACGGACCAGGGACGCGTATCTTCTCGTCCACCTTTTATAATTTCCCCCACCATCTAACTTTCAGGATATAGCCGATTCGAAAAAAAGTGCGCGCTTAACAACAGATGGTAAATTACTTTTTCATATTTGTCTCACTCGGCTTTCTTTCATAATTAATAGCGTTAAAATGAGCCGCTAATATGCGGATATAAAAGCGTATCGCATTAGTGCGAATACTGACACGGCAGATATATGCAGTGGTAACCAAATACCGACACTCAAAAATGATGATATTTATTTTTAAACTAATTATTTCGTTTGGATTGCAGGCGAGTTTCTGGAACGTCTTATAGGACGTAGAGCGTGCGTTTTCGCAATCTTTCTGGCTTCAAGGGGAACAGAAAGACCAGCGGTAACCGATGACTCACGGCATGACGACAGAACGTTGGAAGTGCTGTACCATGTGCGCCCGTTCGTTAGAGAAGCGCGCACCGCATGCAACTGCATACAACACCACGCGAGAATTGCTTTCACGAATTTAATTTGACGAACCTGCGCGGAGAACGTGGCGCGTTACAGTTGAACGTGATTAAGTATACGATTTTTCGAAAGCTTCCTTCCCGTTTATCATCGGAAAGACTTTTTTAAAAGTGTATTATTTTTACTGTATTTCAATATTATTGTTTAAATATATTACTTTTTTCATTGTAGAATTTTGTTCCCATTGAAAATAATAATGTGCCGATACAGATGTAAGAGGATGAAATGAGGTAGATTTTTTAAGAAAGTAGTACTGTCACGATCAGGTAGGTGACTTTCAAGGATGACATCTTACAAGCTGGATGAGTATATATGTATGTATGTAACAAATCGAT